AACACATACTCAAATGGAACCACAAAACAAGAAAAGTTGCAGTTATTAAAATAAATTTAATTTTTTATATAGTTTTAAACCTTAACAATTTCAACAAATAAAACGAACAATGAATTTTATAGTAAAAATAAAAATAATAACTTTTTAAAACGAAGTGTAATATCACAGGAATCATTCAATTTTTGTTAATTTAATATTTATATGTATAAACACGATATAACTCGTATCATATAATATTACAATATATACATATATAATTTACATATATATATGCATAGATATAATATATAATGTTAAATTTAATTAAATAATAAAATTGTTTAGAGTAGTTGATAAATTTTTGTACATAAATTAATGATGAATATATTAATAAAAAATAATATTTAAAATTAAATTAACAATTATAATTTGGCAAACAGAATTTAAGTGTAATAAATAAACTAATTTTAAATAAAATACTATAAAAATATATAAAGTTATTGTTTAATTTAACGGTTTAAAATATATTATTTTAAAAAAAGTTATATATAATATTACTAAGAAGATCAATAGAGTAAAAAATTAAAAATTCATTTTATTAAAGTAAAAAAAAATTAGACTAAAAGCTAAATCGCACAGTATTACGACAATGCACGAAAATTAAAAAATTTTAACATTAAAAAATTTTAATTTGCAAATAGTAAATTATATATGGTTGGGAAGTTAATTCAAATATAAATAATTTTCATATTAGTTATATACATTTTGTTAAAGAGATATTGGCTTGTAATCTTGATTTTTGAAACAAAGTACGTGATTACGAAATAACTCCAGCGCGCACTACCATATATCAGTTAAATTTCCTTTTTTTGAATTTATTTATTACTGTGATAATATATTAGAAAAACAATATTTTTCTATTAAGAACACTTCAGCTCCAAAGAATGGTTTAAAAATCATTAATTATTACAATCATAAAATAAGCGACTTAAATAAATGATGCTGAATTTAATTATCTTTGTTTACGACCCTTTTTGTTGAAGAAATATTACTTATTCACTTTAAAACTAAAAGCAGCAATATTTTCAAAAAAAAAAAAATTGGAACTAGAGGGTTAATAATATTTCTCATGCAAGCAATTATTTTCCATGGATATTAAAAATTACCATTTTAAAATTTGAGCCTAAAAATATGCACTAGATACAATATCGCCATACTTTAGACAAGTGTTTCACAGCCTTTTTTATGGTACGCCGCACTTAACTCTTTAAAAAATTTCTATTTGTAACATATAACATTCGCAGGGACCGTTCGGAAAGGTACGCAAAATAGTATATCAAATATTATAGTATATCGAAAATCGAATATTTTTTGACATTTTTGATATTTTTTGGCGAAATATAAATCGAATCCTTTACTATTCTCATAGGCAATATTTTTTTATTGTTCTTTTGGGTTATAAAGTACCTAAACTGCGCGACTTTCTAGCAATACTTGAACTGAAGGTTGTAAGTGTAATCTTAAATTATCCTCCTGTTGGGCATATGTCCCACTATAAGAAACACTACTTTAGATCACATTTCACGTGCAGAGAACTTCGAAAACATTTATTCTATTTTCCAGCATACTTTTTTGCAGCAAAATGAATAATATTATTATATAATTGTAAAATATAGACAAATTATTTACTTGGCACTTTTCATTTTTATATTATTGAATAATAAAACTTGTTCCCTAAAAATTTCAATAAGATCGGAACATTTCACCTATTTTTGTAGATGTTTGTACGGTGTAGCATTGACGATGGTAGAGTGACTTTTTATACATGCAGAAATCTAAAGTTATTTAACGTGATTACATGCTCTTAACGTATCAGTATAATTAATGCGCCGATAACTGGTCCATTAAAACTACAAAGAATTCTGCCGGCATCAATTAAAGCTATTCGTTTGGATATAGTTTCCTGCATTCCTGGTGAGGAGTGAAGCTTATCTAACACCTCTACTGCTCATTGGATCACTGCACCCAGTCTGAAATTGTACCTTCACATGAAATGATAGTAAATGAATATAATCATGCTAGTCAATCAATCAGTTATCACGACACTCCCTCTAAATAGCCAGCCTCTATTCATTAGGACAGCCGAATTTGTGGGCTTTGACCCCCGTGGTATCAGATTTATACCTCCAGCCGGGTGTGGTAAAAGAAAGCTCACTTACTAACAGTAATACTTAAAACAGTATTAGTGAATGAAGGCCTTAATCATATAAATAAACATACATATCGACAATCAGACAACTAAACAAACTTAAACACAATGCGAGTTAAAGACCAACCTAAGATGCGACAGGTATTTGATCACTTCATTTATACACTCACATTCCATCATAGTTATTCACATACACAACTGCAATGGAAGAATCAATGTATAACGACGATAAAAAAACAGAACATGTGTATTCGGCTAATTCTCGCCAGACATGGCAGCGCATGAACCACAGCACTTACGTCATATATGTCAGCTATCTGTACTACATTCGTACCACTTAAGTAGCTAGCACAGTATCGTGACTGCAGACTTAACTGTCTTATAACATACAGCCGCCCTATAAGCTGCACATTAAATAGGGCACTTAAATTTGTAGACACAGAACGCCTGCTTAGACCACTTCACTTCGCAATGATCCTTCCAAATTTTGTGTGGATTTATGCTGTCTTAGAAGCAACAAATTTCTTTATTCTGGACATATCCACCAAACGAAAAATAAGCTTGATCAGTACAGAAAATTCGATGTAAAATAAACCCACTGCAGAATTACCATTTTCATGCAAGTTTCTACAATTTTAACATAACATTTTCAGCAGTCGTTGAGAGGTCTACATCGTAAAACGGCAAACATCAGTTTTAATGAATGACATCTAGGATGACAATCCTGTTTTATATATGCAGTAGTAATTGTGCTACCAAAAAAGAACAACGTAATTATTAACCCTTTATATCAAACAGAATCGAATGTGACATTCGATGTGAACGAAACAAATTGAAGCAATCACAAATTTTGTTTTTGTGTACTTTTCTGAAAAGTACACTGTCATCGTATACGATAGTATAAATATACGACTCATACATATAGCATAGTTTCGAGCAATAGAACTGCTTTAATAATTAAAATTTTTGATTTCATATTATTTCTATGAATTTTTATTCTAGAAAGGTGTTATCACCATCATCTTATGGCGCTACCACTATAGCTTTCTATCTCTGTTAGCTTTGTGTTTTGTACGCCATCTTTGAGCTGTCATCTTTCGAAAATCATCTTCAACGCCAACGATCCATCTTATTGTTAATTAAACTTTGTCATATTTTTTCTCCACTTTGTAATTTAACAAATCTTACGACTTTGCCACCATTTCGCATAATTTCGCCACTACATAGCCTGAGTAATTCTTTATTGTCACATTGTTTTCAAATATTTTTATATGATTTTTCCTTTAATTCTCCTCTTCCGGCATAATTTTTGAGTGCATCATAGTGAGCAATATATACCTCCAAGTGGAAGTGCTGACAACTGTCAGCACGCGCCTTCTGAACCTAACCTAACCTAACCTTTTCTTCAGTTCTATTTCGTAAGAGAATATAACTGCATAAAGTCGAAAACTATTTTTGAAGTCTCACTCTGCGATATTTTGAAGAAATTTTATCTCTTAATCGCATTTTATAATTTTAAATTTTATATCTTCCTAACTATAAAATTAGTTTAGTTATAGGTTACTTGTAAATAAGACTAGATACTGTTCTATGATTTTTTAAACGAAATATTTTATTTTAAAAATCATTCGATATTAACTATATAGCTGTAGTATATTGCTGTTTATGGAAAAAAAAATATGAAATGAAACAACATTTTTTGACACCGATAAAACAACATTAATACGTTTTTTTATTATTTCATTAAAGACATCAAAAATTTTATTTAATTTTTATGAAACAATGAATCTGTGAATTATAATTTTTTTTTATTATAATTAATTTTGTGTGTGTCATTAAGTGATAAAATATTTTAAAATTTTTAAATGAGTAAAGAAAAAACTATCAATTAACTAACTTTATACATTCTTTGTCAACATTTTAATTCTGACCTTTTCTAAACTAATTTTTATCTAACGTCAACTTTAATTAATTTATTTTTCCTTCACTTCCGATACGTATATAACAATATCTTAGAACCCATTTTTTTACGCTACTTATAAATTCGTTTAAAATGAATGCTCTTCTGATTGTTTAGAAAAATGAACTTTATATATAACAATAAAATCTTGTATATATCGTATGTATATAGTATTGTATAAGTTTCTCATTTAATTCATTATTACATTTTTAAATTATTTATAAATATTTTTATATGCCTATATATATATATATATGTATTTATATATATTCAGTGTTTTTATTTCGTCTTTATTTTTATTTGAAAAGGGATGGATATCTATTGAGTACAACTTTTCTGTTAAGTAATTTATTAATTTTTTTTTAAAACTATTTATTTTTTTTTTTTTAGTTTACTAAACACTTATGAAATAGAGTATAGTTTTTAGTTAAACTTTGATAATGAAATATTTCAGAATCTTAATTATAAATTTCATTTAAGATATATAGATAATAATATGCGGTGAAGTGTTTTATAAGAGTTTTATGAAATATATTTGTATGAAATAAATTTTTATGATTTTTTTTTATATACGCGCTTTTAAATACTTCTATTCAATTATACCAATACTACTTAGCAATTGTATATATGTACAAATATTTAAATATACATATATATATAAATTGAAGATACTGAAGCTTGAGTCCACGAAACTTGTATTTCTTTCACAATTTCAATTTAAATACTTTTGTTCTTAGTTTGGCACTCAATATTTTATTTGGTACTTTACAGTTTAATAAACCACATTTTCTTTTCAATATATGAAAAATATTTTAATTATAAGTATTATTTTTTTTTTGTGATAATGTAATTATGTCTATAAGAGAGGTAAATTTTTCGACAGCTACGATTTATTATCGTCTATAGTTGCATTTATTTTGGTCAAAAGAAAACTTATTATATATATTCGATTCGATTTTACGTTGAATAAACGTTTATAGAAAATAATATCAGAAACCTTAAAATTTCATATACATGTAAATAATTTGGTCTAAATATATTAAGCCAATATTTTATATCTTTTTATATGATGAAGTAAAAAATTTGAATTCTCATATATTTAACTCCCAATATGTTAATATTATTAATATATTTATTTTATATAAAAATTTTAATTATAACAATTTCTAATAAATACTAGCGTATAATGAAAAATAGTACATCATGTAAAAAAATAAAAAATATATATAAGTACGTGTTATATATATATATATATAAATATAATAGCACATTATGTAATGAAATTGAAAAGTATGTTATAAAATATATATAAAAACATATATATATTATTTTTCTTTCTTTTTTACATTATTCGCTAGTATTCATCTTAAATTATCATAATTGAATTTATATATAAGAACATATATAATAATCAT